AAAATCTGTTTGAACTTTTGAACAAATATTTAATTGCATTTGATTTTGTATTGATTTATTCAAAAGTTAAACTAAAACTGTATTTTTGTTTGCCTCACGCTATCTCTTTCTAATACATGGTCTTTCTCTTTCTATTCCCCGTTAACCAACAGGTACAAAAGCAACTAAGCGAAAGCCTAACAACAACAACAACACCAGAGCAAAAGCGACAACAACAAAAGCTTAAAATAAAAAAAATAAAAATGATAAAAGAAATGAAATAAAAAAAATGAGAATGAACAAAGAAAGAAACAACAAAACACTAGTGTTCAGCTAAAGAAAATATTTAATAAAACAAAAATGGTCGTAGTTTATTATTATTATTAAAATTATTATATTTTAAGCATAAAAAATAAACAAAAAGAAATCATTTAAAAATCAAATAAAAACACAAACACATACATACACGCGTATAAATATATATACATAAAAGCAAAGAAAAATACAAATTAAATAAATAAAATTTATTAATTATAAATAATACAAAAAGATAAAATAAAACGATACTGGAGAATTACAGAATACACGTAAACAAAATACAAAAGGCACCTTTTGCAATTGGCAAAAAAAAAAAAAATAAATAAATAAAAATAAAAATAAAATGAAAATAATAATAATAAATAAATAAAATAAAACAACAAAGGAAACTTTACAAATTATATGAAAATGCAAAAACAGCAGGCACAGTTAATGTTTAAAATGTATTTAATTAAATAAGCATCATTTGGCAAGACGAGCAGCGAAAAACGATGTGAGTTTGAAAGAAGAGAAGAAAGCGAATGGTGTAAACTAACATTCACCACGCAATGCTAAATTGCCAAATCTCACCACACCACACTCAAAACACACTAATTAATGCTGAAACGAAATGAAATTAAATTGTAATTGTTTGTATAAAAAGAAGTTGAACGAAAACACACTCACGAAACATTCTACTAATTAAAGAATTAAAGATTTTAACTTAAAGCAAATTATATTAAATTTATGTGAAAAAAAAAAAACAAAACAACACAAAAAGAAATGAGCATACAAAAGAAAAGAAAAAAAAATGATAAAAGTAAAGCGAAAAAGCTAAACCGTTAACGTAGCACGTTAAAAAATAATAAAATTATATATAATATATATGCATATGTATATGTGTGTATATTAAATAATAAGAATGCAACGTTAACATATAATTTTAAATTTAGAAATTTCTTGCGTTCCACAAAACGATCTACGATCCATACACATAAATGTATGTATATACATATATACATACATATACTAGCAAACTTTCCAATTCGCATAACGAATCAAGCAAAAACATTAAGGCGAAATTCAATTCGAACTATTATTATATGCTAACGGTATATAAGCATTAATAGAAAATTAAAAAAAAAAAAAAAAAACAACAGAAACATGCCACTGCAAGCATATATCCTTTATGTATGTATCTTCTATATATATTTATATATATATATTATTATTTTGTTATTTAAATTATATTTTCTGCCGAACCGATCGATGATCGTCGTACGTAAAATACATTTATATATATTCTTTATTCTAACTCATGATTAAATGTCAAATCAAAGCTAGCAGTGTCACTAATTATTTCTCCAACAATTTGCATTGTTTATAATTTTTTTTTTTTTTTTTTTTTTTTTTTGTAATATATACACATACATATTTATGGATAATAATGTTTTTTTGTATGTTTGCATGTTGTGTGTATGATTTCAGTTTGATATCGCTGAGCTGCGATATAATGATTATATGAATAAATAAATATATATATACCGATCATTATTGTACTATTATGATTATTATTATTATTGTCTATTAATATTATTTTGTGTAATTGCTATTATTATATACATATTGAAAATATACAAAATATAAATTACATTTAAAAATCAATTACCTCACTGGCCTTTCACTATTTCAAAATAAATAATCATGAATGATTGCTATTCAGAGAAGACTTGAATATTGTGGCTTTTATTTCAGCGTCTAATTCGAATTATTGAAGAGACACCTGGCGGCAAATACTGCAAGCTCGTTGTGTTAACATCATGAGTATGTTAAAGAATATGTAAACGACGCTTATCGATAGCTCTGTTACATAGCATCTCTACAAACCGGCTAGTCAGTAAACAGAGTTCAGCAACAAATTTGCTGGCATCAATGTAACTAGATTGTAATTTTATGTCAGAAAGTCGTGATTGTTTGCTATTTAATTAACTGATAGATTGCCATATAACAATTTAGAACTTAAGCGCATCAGGAAAAAATAGTGGCGCGCTATGTTAAAAACAACAATCAGCCAACATAATAATAACAGTATAACAGGAGAGTAACAGTTGTGTTCGTGACGTCACATTTAAAGTTAAATTAATTGAAATAATTTGTTTATAAGATAAACGAGCTTTCGTTGAAATTAACAAAAATATTGTGATTATTTTCCACAGTTAGAGAGCTGTTGTTAAAAAGTTTAGGCACTGCATGCACCTGTCAACAATCAAACATGACGTCACATGTGTATAGTTTTACACTCTCAGAGAACGCTGAATAACGTCTGATGTACAGCGTAACCTTCTCCGACTGTGAGCGTGTGCTGTTATTTTTTTGTTGTTTTGAGATTATGTCTTGTTGGATTTTTGCCGTGAACGGACAACGACGTCGCGCGACCGACGGGCCAACAATTGCATTTTGTTGTTTTTTTTTTTCGTGTGTGTGCCGCGGTGTTGCGTTTGAAATACGCGTATTTACTTGATCGCGCGTATCAAAATGGCAGCAGCAGCCGCCGCAAAAGCAGCTGAAATTATGCAATGAAGTGTGTAATTTTGTTGCTTTAATTATTTCCCACTTTTTTTCTTCATATATATATAATTTTTTTTTGCATTTTTTCTCCCGTTTTGTGGAAATACACATGTGAGAAAATAAAGTTCATGTCGCACTTCTTGACCAAAAGTGCGCGCTGTATTGTGCATGTGTGTCTGTGAGAGAGTGTATATGAGTATATGTGCAAATTGGCAAAACTACAAAAAAAAAGCAATCTTAAATCTTAAAAAATAATATAAATATAAACAACGCAAATATGCAGTGCAATTTCAATTGTTGAAGGTGTGCGTGTGCATGTGTGTATGTGTATGTACGTCTCTGTATTGTGTATGCCGAACTGAACGCGCCTTTGTAGTTGATGTCGCGCAACCAGTTTTTTTTACGTACATATTCAACAAGTTTCTGCTAAAAACGACGGCGAATGCATGTTTCTGTGTGTGAGAGTGTGCGAGTGTCAGAGTGCTTAGTGTGCGTGTGTGTGTGTTGTATAGCTGAGCGAAATTTGATTTTTAGCAAATGAAATTAGTTGCAGCAAACGGAAACCAAAAAGTAACTGCAAACCAAAGTCAAATTGCAAGCAGCCGCAACAGCAAAAAACAAAAACCACAACAACAATAACGAAAGCAGGGCAGCAACAACAGCGGCCGCCACATGAATTTCGCTATACATTTTTGAGTTTATGCAGTGCCCGATAGTACGATCCAAGTTGCAATCATCCATTTGCATTCAACATAGAATAGAAAGTTCAATAAGTAAATAAATAATTCTCCCAATTAGCGGATTTTGCTGAATTTTTAATTGAATACAAAGTATTACAACAATAGATTGTGACTATGTACATGCAGCGCATAAACATAATTATGCCTTAGCGTTTTTGGCTGCGCTGCAGCAGCACTGGCAGCATCTGTGCGTGAGTGACTGAGTGAGCAAGTGAACGCGTGAGCCGCTCTTTGCGTAGCTTAGCCATCGCACTCTCTCGCTCTTGTGTCGCTGCTCAGCTCTGTCTGCCGTTATTGTTATTGTTGTTGTTGGATTTGTTGCTGCACTCTTCTCAAATTGAGCATATGCATTTGAAAAAAAAGTTAGTACTACAAGCAATTATTTTTACTGCCTTTCCACATGTTTGTGGTTAGTTTGGCTTTGCGTGTTTTTGTTTTTACATTTACTTCATCTATTATTATTATTATTTTTTTGCTTGCTTGTGTTTTTGTTATAATAAAGACCTAAGCCGTTTATTATTAATATTATTGTTATTGTATACACAGTCACCATCTACATAACTATATACATACATACATGCATATGTACATACATCTATTTTGTATATCAATTTTATATCAATGCCTCAGATGTGTCTTGTTTCATTGCACGTTTTGCTTAAATGGAAAATCCAGATTTTTTTTTTGTGTGTGTGTGTGTTTTTTTTTTTAATTTTTATTATAATCCTTATATACATATTTATACTTATTTTTTGTTATGTGTTTGTATGCATGTGCCTTGTGTGTGTATTAATTATAATTCCTTTTGTTTTTACAGTGCCGCAAAAAATTGTTTTGCATATCTTTCGTTTGACAAAATCATAAAAAAGTGCAAAAAATTTAATAAATTATATAAAAAAGAACACAATTGTGCCGAATAAAAAAAAAAAGAATAAATAAAATAAATAAATATATACATACGTATGTATATATAAATAAATATTTAATTGAATAATTTTGTTTTTGCTTAAAATTATGAAGCAGACGCAACACAAAAATAATTACAATAATAACAACATTAATAATATTAATTTTAATACAAATCTAAATACTAATGAGCCGCAGACAGCGAATACTAATAAAAAGAAATATTACAACAACAACAATTATAACGCAACCGCTACTAACAAACAACATCAGCAGCAGCAAAGCAACAGCGATACGGCAACAACAACAGCAGCAACAGCTGCAGCAAAGAGCAAATTAAAAAACAAACACATTTACTTTGTGCGCCGTCGCTTTCGGCGCAGCAATTCAAACGCCTCCCAAATCAATATCAACAACAACAACAACAGCAACCTTATCAGCAGCAGCATCAACAACAATATCAACAACAATAAGATTAAGCATAAAACAAATTTCAGCAGCAGCACAGCAGCAAAGTCAACAATAACAGCATCAAAAGTAAAAACAAAAACAACAAAAATGGGCGGCGGCAAAGACATACGCCGCGGCCTAGAGCCCTTGGAGTTTGAGGAATGCATCGTCGATAGTCCCGAGTTTCGTGATAATTTGAATCGTCACGAAAAGGAATTGGATCACACTAGTCAACAGATCAAGCGCATTATCAAAGAGGTTAAAGATCTAATGAGTGCCGCAAAAGGTGAGTACACACACGCATTTGTATGGTAATGGTAAACCTTTAAATGTTACACTTGCCCTCTCGCTCTCGCTAGCGTGCGCCCTCTTCGAGCTGCTAGTGAAGCGAACGTGCGCTCTCGTGCGTGAGAATGCGCTCGCTCGCTGTGCCCCTCGATGTGTGTGTGTTTGTGTGTGCTTGTATGTGTGTGTGTATTTGTGTGTTTGTCGATGCCTGTCAAGGTCAACCAGTAGCGCAAATAAAAGCAACAAACAATACAAAAGCAACAATTCCCAAGTAGTTATAGAAAACAGAGGGGAGGCAAGTGAAATAGAGAACGATAAAGACAGTGAGAGGGGGAGCTGGAGAGGAAGAGCGAGCTCACATAGAATCAATTTTTAGCGTGTACATTTTAACGGCAGTTTCACTATTTTGTACTGTTTCTCGTGTCACAGATATATGCATATATACATGTGTGTGTGTGTGTGTGTGTGTGTGTGTGTGTGTGTGTGTGTGTGTGTGTGTGTGCAGCTAGATTTACATGCAGACACATGTATGGATATGTATGTGTGTGTAATTTATTTATCGAGAACCGATTGCATGTTTATTGTTCGGTTTTGTTGTTGTTGTACTAAAAATACAAAACAATTGCACTGCAGCAACAATAATAGCAGCAGCAGCAGCAGCAACAGGTGCAGCCAGGTGCTTGCAGTATGCAAATCTATACACACATTGATATTTCTCATGAGTGTGTCTGTGTGTGTGTAGGTCTGCGTGCACATTTTCTATTTTCATAAAAACCTTTATGTCTATTGATCAAGTCAATGCGGTTTTCAAAGTTTCACAGCCTTACGATTGTGCTCAGGTGTAAATACAATGTACAGTAAATACTCGTGAAGAGCTACTGATGTATGTATATGAAAGTTGTTAAATAACTAAAATGAAGTAAAAAATAAATAAATTGAAATTCGATTTTTTAATATTTTATCAATGGCTATACCAAACTTTGTTTAGTACCTGCATTCCACAGCTCAAAGTGAATTCGAATTGATCGAATTTATTGCCGCAGTCGATATATGGTCAATCAGTTCAGTGATTCACGCTTAATTTATGGCGCACAGACCACACCCAAGTCCAAGTTCAAGTTGATTAAAAATAAGTCAATAGTGATCGTGCTTATTTATATATATATATATATATATGTACATATATGTATAGATATAGATTTATATTACATAAATGTATGTGCATATATTGATAGAGTGGGGCAATCTTATCGATGTGCAGTACAAGCATTTTTGCATACTATTGCACACGGTACTGTACCTGGGCTATCGGAACAAGGGATCGTATTGAAGTGTGTTTGGCTTTTCTGTTTTTTTTTTTTCTTTTTTGTACGATAAGCACGCCTCAAGCAGTTGACCATTTAGTTAACACTGAGGTTAACCTTGACTACGACTAATTATGTAAGCACATAATAATAATAATAATAATAAAAATGTGCCTGGCCTGCGCTATCTGACATTAATGTGGGGGGCTGTCCATTCCGATATGGATTTCGATTTCAATTTCAATTTCCCATAAGGCAACAAGTCGAGTCGCATTGACGCATTGACCATATACAGTTAGCTCAGCTGCAAAATGTCATGTAAATACCCTGTAAGCAATACCTACTGTGCGCAATGGATGAGCTAGACTTCAGTATACACCTGTTGTAGAATGCATAGAAAATAATTGGCTAAAGCTTTGGGAAAATAAGTAAAAATATTGCAGTCGGGCGCCAGTGTGTATATCAGGTGTATAGAAATAGAGTTTATACGACATAATCTGATACTTTGTAATTGAAGTGAGCTCATCTGGTAAATAAATTCTGGCCATATACAATGCATTTGTGACAAGTGAGCTAGTTAGTTGATTAACTGACTGATTAGCTAATTGAAGTGCTGTGACTGTACACATACATATGTACATATATGGCCACACTCATATACAATTAATAGCGCGTGTTGCATAAACAGTGTTCGCCTGTTGCACATTTTGTTGTTGTATGCACAACAGCAGGCAGCTCGCGCACGCTTTTTGAATGCCATTGAACGCATTTAAACGAAAATGCCAAAATCACAGCAAATCAAGTCCAAGTTTGTATTGCTTCAACTCACTCACACACACAGACACACACACACAGACACAGAGAAACACTCACACACTCAGTTAGTTCAGTTTCGCCTTTTGAGTACTCGTTTTGTAGCTGCTGCTCATTTGTTGTTTTCGGCTTTGTCAGCTTCATTAGCTTCATAAGGTTTGTCACCTTTTCCATGTTTGCGCCAGCAAAATAGACAGAGCGACACCCCAAGTAAATACGAATCAGGCAAGTGTCGTCTATACTGAAGGCACTCTTATGACGACGACTTGTCGATTCTCTATATATGATGAACAGATGATATATGGATATTCAGGGGAGTTATCAAAGAGTCAAATCACGTTTAAACAATATGAAAAGTTCTTAAAATTCCTTATTTACTTTGACCAGGCAAACACTCTAGACTATTTAATCGTTAGGGTATTCATATAGTATGGTAAACATGCCAAATCGCAAAATCAACATCGAGAACTCAATTCGTGTGTTTGTTTTGTAAATAGTTTGAAGCATTGAATCGAATGCTTGACTCTAGAGCTCACTCCGTGTTATTGGACTTGACGAGTTGAGGTCTATATATGGGTCAATGTGACAAATTTGATTATAAAGCAACGACAAAAAAAAATTAAAAAATAAAACCAAACAAACAAAAATAAATAGTCAAATCAGTTATATACGTATAAATTTAGTTATCAAACGGCGAGGCTAGTTTCAAATGCAAATACCCCAAAAAAAAAAAAATATATATATATATGTATAGATATAAAAAATCTAAAGCGACCTTCACAAATTGTTCTCTTGGGCGTGGCAAAGAGTCTGAAAAGCCAGTTCTCGAAAGTGTTCTAGTTTATGGCCAAGCAAAAATAGAATAGAGTTTAGATCGGCCGTAAGCCCAAGCCATTTGCATATGAATGATGATATTATGCTGGTCTTAACAGCAGCTCATCAAAAATTATCTAACGCGATAGATCAATAGAAGAAGAGATGCTGCAGCCATTCATATCTAAAGAATTTGTAGCTGTTGAGATTCATTTCGATTTCTATATAATCGGTTAAGCTCCTTTACTCATCTGAAATCCAGCTCAGCTAATATAATTGCCTTCAGTTGAGTTGATCAACAATGAGTGGCTGTAATCTTTTCTCTCTCCCTCCTCCTTCATACTCTTTGTATACAAACTGTAGTCGGTCTTCGTAGATGTGTATTTTTTTAGCCTTTGGCAAAGTACCAATTCGAAATACTATATCATATAGAGCCATTAAAAGTGTACCGAAATATTTTAATTAGCTTGTACAAGTAAAAAATCTTAAATATATTTATATTTATTTAAGGAATGATATTTTTATTGTCATTGAAAAATATTTTATATATATATGACTATATAATATAATTCATATTTTAAAATAAAACAAAATCAAAGAAAAAAAAAAAAAATAACAGTAAAATAAAGAATATTAAAGAAACAAAATATAATAAAAAAAATAGTATAAATAAAAAATAAAATAAATAAATAAAAAATAAAATAAAATAAATAAAAAAATAAAATAAATAAATAAAAAATAAAATAAATAAATAAAAAATAAAATAAATAAATACAAAATAAAATAAATGAATTAAAAATAAAATAAAAAAGAATTAATTAAAAATATAAAAATGTATTAAATCACCTAAAAAAAAGAAAATAATTGAAATAAAAAATTATAAATATTTTTAGCATGGGGAACAGTAAAAAAAATAAATAAATAAAAAAATATAATATATTACAATAAATTATATTATAATAATTTTATTATATTATGGTAAATATGATACAATATAGAGAAAATCCTTTAATCATTGAATATTAGGCTCTAAGCCAGGCAACTGAAATAGACTCACTTACGCATTCCAGAGAGCTTCTCTGGTATTTTCTATAAATAACAAGTTTTCAAATTGCGGCGAATACAAAAAATGAAAAACGTTCGTAAATAAATCCAAAATGCAGACTTTAAATCAAAAACTCAAAAATAAGTTAAGAGAAAAGTATAATGAGTACATCGCAATAGGGCATAACCGACTGCAACATACGCATTCATCGTTCTTTAAAAGCTATATAATATATATAAGGAAATCTTTATTTATTTTTAAATAATGAAATTTTTTTAAAATAAAATTAATGAAGCATGCTTAGGCCAGGTCAACAGAAGTCGTCAGATGCCAAACTGGTAGAAGATAAATTGGTGTATATTATTTAAAAGTCTTTGGCTAATCAATATACTCCTCCTTTGGGTTCATGAACGAGCATTGAATCATCTAAACGCTGACGCTGAGCAATTTAATATAAATGTAAACAATATGTGCATGTACGTAGGTATGTATCGGTGTGTGTGTGTGTGTGTGTGTGTTGGTTATGTGTGTATGTGTTGTGTATGCAAAATGTTAACGGCTTTTCAGCGCTGTGGTTATGTGTGCATAAAATTTGATCGCCTGGCTTGTTTGAAATGCGATCAATCTTTCGGCCACCAAAAGCAACAATGTGTGTGTGTGTGTTTTTTTTTTTTGGTCTTTTGGCCATATACATGCACATAACAATACACATGCACACATACAAATATGTATATATATGCATATATCTATGTGTATTGTGATATCCGGCGCTGAAACTAAACAACGCATCGTTTTTACATTTGAATTTTGTATGAATCATTTGATTTTTTATACCCTGTAGCCAATTAAAAATGAATAAAAAAAAACAAAATAGAGAGACAAAATATATAAAAGCGAGGGTAACCATAAAGTTGCGCAATTATATGCAAAGCAAAACAGTTGACTTCAAATGGATGCTACCTTTTTATCTGATCGACAAGAATAATGGATATAGGTGTTTTGTTAGCTGAATGCGAAATTGTT